TGACAATACAGGTCATCTCCTGTTAAATCTCCTCGTGTCTAAGAACAGCACACCGCACAGAGCACCAGCAGAAAACACTCCAAAATCACCTCTGATCTCAGTGAAGTTGCAGTTCTGTGCTCTTTCCTATCACAGGCTGTTTTGAGAACTAGTTGATGAAGCAGATGAAGACATTAGTTTTTAGCTTTTGGACACCTGGATTCAAAGTAAAAAAAAATAATCATGCAGTGTCATCCAAACTCTCAGATGTCTGTTCTACAAAATCTGGTGTAACTAGTCTCTGGAGGGACCCAGGATCTGCAGAGCAGGATTCAGGTACACTCAGGTTTTAAGAATCTTGTGCTTTATCTCCTGTTTTAATGTGTTGAATTACTTCTGTTACTATGTTATTGCTATGTTACTTTTTGCATGTTATGACAAAATAGCACAATCATGTAAATAAATTATCTCCACAGTCAATGATAATATTGAATCAAAGTTTCAAAGACACCTCCGTGACATCAATGGCTGGAGCCTGTTTTCAGGAATCTTAACGTCTCATAGGTGGGACTCTCTTTTTCTCATAGAAAAAAAAACCTGTATAGATGACCAGGCTAAAAAGGTTACGTGCTTCTAACACTGCAGCTAGATCATTAGGGATATGACCTGACTATAAAACATAAATTCATTCCAAGTATGGGTTCTGATGTTATGCTTCCTTGCTCCAAATTTCACAACATACCCCCTAGATTTTGCTACAGCTGCTGTGTGTAAATGAGTTTAAATCTAGATAAACCAAAGCAGTTATCTCACAGGTAAATATCTACAAAGTCCCTAAAAGACTCATTAACAAGAACTCACCCAAATGCTGCTACTTGCTATATTCTAGAAAATCTTTCTTACCAGGGTGGACACAGAGTTGAACAGGCTCTAGGAATATCCAAGTTCACAGTGGGAACAATTGGTTAATTTAATTTAGTGTGAAAATGATTTGGTACCTTATTATGAAAATGTTTACTATGCATGTTGTTTATTTTATAATCTTCTAGCTGATATATTCAGCTGGATAATAAATATTTTATCTAGCTGATACTATTTTTTTTTAGTTGAGCCTTTTTAAACTTTCTGATTAAAAGATTCCCAAATCTTCCTGGAGAAAATGTAAAAAAGCCATCCTGTGCTGAGCTTATGATATATGTGTTTGAGAAGAAAGACTTTAACTTAATGTTACTCTTTTACAGAACTGTAATTTTTACTGTTATAACATCATACATAATTTATAGCATCCAATACTCTTTCTAGTAGATGCAATATGAAATTTTTGTTATACACAGTGCAGAGACAATATAATTTCAACCCACCCAAGAGCTTCCTATAGATAAGGAGATTCTCCACGTCTCCCCTTGCTGCTGGCTGCACAGATTGCAACTGGTTTACATTTATAGCTTGCTGCTATATGACTGAACAGGTGCTGACATCCATTGTCAGCAAGAAGAAATACTTCTCAGGTCAATTAAGTACTTTTTAAAAGTACTTTTATTGCTGACTGAAGGAAGTGGTGTTGTTTTGGTGTTCATATAGACATGAGTCATTTCACTGTCCCCCTAAATTTAAACTTTGCTTTCTTCCACAGTAGCAGCTTTCATCATTTCAGACTGACAAAAACAGTAGCTTGCAGAACATGAGAGTAGTGGGCAATTAGCAAGGTGCACACACACAGGCCTTAAGAAATTTATGGTGCAGATAGGTACATGGAAGCTGGACAACCACACACCACTAAAAAAAAAAATATAACCCCCCCCATAGATCTGTTCTTCTTAGAATGCCTTGCAGTTAACATAAAACAAGTTAATCCATTATACTGCTGCTTTAGCCACCTCAAGCACATTTAACTAAAGAAGTAAAGAACGAAGTGACTAATTTACAGTAAAATAATCTTTACTAAGTTAACACCAAAATCCTAGCACTGGTATGGCCAATTCTTGTATTGAACCTAAGGGAAAGTAATTTTTGCATTCCTTGCTGAGCTTTTAGCTGTTAAGTCAGGTAAAGCAGTTTCATTCAGAACAATCTTTCCACAGGAATATGTCCATACAAATCTGAGAGTTCAAGAGTACTGTGTTTCCAGTAGAACAAGCAGATGATGCAAGTGTTCAGTCTCAACAGGAGAGGGCATTAAGCTTGCCAAGACCTCAAACCTCCAGCTCCTACAATTTAATCTGGTTTTAAATTAACTGCAATAGCATTTCTAGATGCAACTTGCATTTTTGAGACTTGTAGTATGCCCCTTTTCCTAGCAGAAATCCTCAGTAGCTCTGTTGGGTGTACTTGAGGGTCATAGGAACATGAGAAAGTCATCCAAAATAATTAAGGCAATGAACAGTAAGGAAACAATAGTTTATTGCCAAAAACTTCAGAAGGCAAGCAGTAAGAACAAAAGATTTAACAGTGACATCTTAAATAATCTCCACGCCATCTCCATTCCTTCTAAGCACCAGGACCCACAGCTTCTCCACACTGCCCCAGGTCACCCTCACTGCAGTACCAGTGCACTCATCCACAGCACCCTTGGTTCCTCAGAGCACCACCACCCACCACAGCCCTGCAGCACCCTGAGGTTCATCCACAGAGACAATATGCCTCGCTGGAGACTAGTGAAGAAACATCTGTTTGCACCCTGAGCACAGGGCAGGTACCTGCCCCCTGCTCCTGCCCTGGGACAGCACATACAAGGCAAACACTGCACACACAGTCCCACGCTCCCCAGAGCAAAGCTTCCTTGGGTGCTCCTGTTATCAGAATTAACTGGAGGTAAACAGACAAGCTGCTACATGACTGTATGGACCCAAGCGTTTTGTTCTCTTCTGCTCTTAACACCAGCAATCACTAAATTCCATGTGCAGAGACACAAACCTGAACAGGTAACTGTGGCATAAAACTCAGTTCAAGTAGATTAAAAATCTTCCCATAAGATCTAGCAAACTCTGAAATCTGTTTGCTAGTTAATGCATCAGATTTGTGGAAGAGCAGTTATTAATAAGCAGAAGACCACAGCAGCTGTAAATGTGCATTTTAGGATATACATTTCAACAGAAGAAGCTATTAACTCCAGAGTATTTCCTCACCCTCATCTTCCTCATTTTAGGTTACTCACCTAGCAGCTAAAATAAGCCAAACTGATCAGAAAGTTTCAGGAACTAGGCAGAACTCAGAACTTTATTTTAAAAGCGCCACATACAGAAAGCCATCCTCCCTGACTTAATGAGAATAATGCAGGCATATAAATAAAATAGAACAAATAAAATAATGATCTTTCAGGAAGTTGTTGAATGCTTGTAAAAATTAAACATTAAGGTTTTCAGTGCAAGGGCAAATGGTGAGATCATACTATTCAGTACTTAGTGCAGAAAAATTAAGGAAAAAAAAAAACCCCAAACTTTAAAATGCCAAGTGATGCTAATGGCTAAACAAACATTTAAGATCAGTTTCAAACACTGCATTTTTATCAGAAATGCTGGTGCAGTTTTGCAGGAGTTCCACATACACTTTTTAAATTGAAATCCTATTTCATTTGCAATAACCTCCTGTAAAAGCATGGCAAACCTCAATGATTTCAATTTCATTAAGGTTGTCTCAAACCATTTATTTTTAGAAAAATATTTAGAGTAGTTAAATTTTTAGAAGTTTTTTATATATCTATATATATACCCCCCCATTTTTTTCTTCTACACAAATCTTGCAGGAGACTGTGTTCCCATCTGTCTACCACTTAAAACCATCTCTAGTTCTCTGTCTAGTAGACACTACTCAGTAGGCAATTCTGACAGAACAGCAATGACATGCCACAGAAAACCTGCTGGAACAGGTGACACTGCAGGTCTGAAAGGCTAATGGAGACTCCTGAAATTCCTTATAAGCTTAAAATCAAAATTCCAGGAAAAGTCTCTGGCACCAAAATACAAACATCAGCTAATTCAGGGCTTTGTCTTCCCATTTTCCCTCTGCAGGGAAGGAGCCTGACAGGACAGAGCCCCGGCTGAAGTCAGCAGGGCTCACACAGGCTGGTGGGGTAGGATGGACAGCAAGGTCTGACCTTTGGGTTCCCACAGCTAGTGACTGCTGACAGCACCTTCCATATGCAGTGAGCACCAAGAAACACACTGCAGAAACCTTCACTCTCAAGGTTTTCATTTACAGAGCCTTGCTTTATGAGCAAATTGGTTCAAACAGGAAAGGAACCTCTGGAATTTAGAACACTTTAAAGGACAAAACAATATTCAGTTAATGTAAAAGTTATTTTTGGAGCAGATTCAAGCTAATGAGTATATCATTAATGTTCTTAATATTACTTCCTCTTATGTTTAGGTATCTCTTTAGCCAACTTCACAAATGTTGTTTAGTCCTTTAAGTGGTTCTTTGAAATTTTGAAGTGAATGCCTACTATTCTTAGACACCCTAGCAGCTTGCAAGACTTAAGGCTTTATGCTTATTGCACCTCTTTATTTAATGGGCTTTTAGAAATAGAGATACTTATTATAGAAGTTTAAGATAAAATTTTATTTTAATTTACTGCACACTCAGCTCATCCATGTCACATTTAGGTCTTAGTAGATAAGAGACACTTTGTATGTTTTACCTCTATTGACTGAAAAACAATTTGAGTACCATGTTAGCTCAACCAGTCAAGTTAAAAAGCTTATCAAAAAATATTTCATACATACTTCTGTACTTCAAGCATCAAGTAATAAACTTTCTATTAAACCGAGTTGTTTCACACAACTATCAAAACTTAAACAGAACAATGATGGAACAAACCATTCTGCTTATTTTTGGGCTTGGTCCCAAAAGAGGTAGTCCATAAGTCACACAAATAAAGATTCCACAGAAGTTAACCTAGCATACCAGTGTCCTCCACCATACACAGCCTCATGAGGCCTCTTCATACCTGCCACTGTTATAAGTTAGTGTTCATGTAAAGACAGGAACTGTAATTGAAAATTATTTCTGTATCTGTAACTGAATCCAGCTGAACCAATATATTAACGAGGCTCTGTGCATCAGCCTCATTAGTACAAATCCAGCTTTTCTCCAATTTACATTTGAAACATGCCTAATACATGTATGGCTTTAAATAACAAAGGATACATGTATTTAGGTTTGGAGAGAAGCTTCAGTTTGTTAAACCTCGTTAGTAACACAGGTGTATTTACTATCATTTCTCTACAAATGCTGCTGCTGCCATTGAATTCCTCATGGTTCCTCTTGCTGAAGCTGCAAACTCTTCAATTTCAGCATTCAGTCTGTTAATTACCCATTCCAATGCTTCACGGCCCTATGGTTAGAGAAGAGTTTATCAGTGTATAAATCTTAGTAAACATGCCAATAGGCTAAACCTTGTCTTACTGAAAAGGACTAAAAAGACATAATAGTTGAAAAAAAAGGTTCAGAAATATGTGCCTCTGTGGTATTTTCTACTTCAATAACCAGAGTACTGCAGGAACATGTACTGCCTTACATTTCATGGAAAAATTCCTTATGTCAGCACTGCTCACATTATGAGCCACAAAGGACTTTTTATCCAGATTGCTTTATTATTCTTGAGGCTGAACTCAAGACATCTTTAGATTTCCAAAAGATGAAAAAAGATTTCTCAACTAAACCACTACTTCATTACTCCCATGTAACTACTTCAGATCTGTCTGGGTGTATATCCCTTTTTAATAGCAAAAGCCATCAAAAACTAAAGTATCAAAAAAATATCAAAAATATCAAAAACTATCAAAACTATCAAATAGCAAAAAAAAAATCAAGAGTGACAGAAGATTGACAGAGCCAGACTCATCAGTGAGTGGAGATGTTATTTCCAGTGAAGATTCAAAGAGCTTTGCAGATAATTTATTGTCTCCATTCACAAGAAGAATAAAAAAAAAAGAGGAAGTTCAGCAAGCTGAGCATTCAGTCTATACAGCAAAGGCAGCAGAGCTGTACAGACCCTTCCTAAGGCTGCTGACAAAGCTCATAAGTAAAACAGAGATTTTTTTGTTCATTTAGCCAGTGGTCACACATTTTACACAGGGCTCATACTTACTTTATTAGCATTGGAAGAAATTGTGTTTGCCATTAGCCCTTCTAGGTAACTGCTGAGACTGACCCCTTTGACAGATATGATTGCTTCTTGTGTCAAAATCGTTCTGAAAGGGAGAGCAGGGACCCGAGTTATTCCGAGTAGTTTAAACAAGAATGCACTGCTCAGAGAAACTTGCTCCTTTCCAACAAGTACATTCCCTCATCAGCTTCACTGTACAACATCAAACTTCCTGTCCCAGAAACACAACCCCTTTCCACAGTGCTTAACTGCTTTGTGCTTCTGCTCATAAAATAAAACCCACAAGTCCCCACATGGTCCAAGCACCCCTTTGTGGCACTCAGCTATTCCCATCTCTAGCAGCAGGGAGTTAGGGTAGAAACAGCAGAACTGCTGAAGGTACACCAGGAAAACAGTATTGAGACACCCCTTTCAGCAACAGAGATTTAACATCCCTGACTCTCACGAGAGAAAACACCTCTAATGTTAGAATCCAGAGAAAGACCCTTCAGAATTATCACTAGTTCCACTCATAAACTCTAAACTTGCATTAAAAATGAACAAATAAAAAAACACCAAACCCTAAAACTCCAAGATTATACACTGAATGCAGATAAATGTGCCTTCTAGTGCAGGTTCTGTGCTCAGGCTGAGAAGGAGATCAGAAATAAGGAGCTGTTACTGGAGGTGTATACAAACTCGGCTACAGGCAGGACCCCTCCCTGAAAAGCTGATGTGCACTGGACTCCACCATGGTGTGACACTGTTTCACTGGAGGAAATGAGAGTCCATTTAATTTGTTTTTAGACCAGTTACCCTACCAGATGTGATGGAAACCTCATCTTCTGTTCAAGGGAAACCACAGAAATTTTCAAAGCCCAAGTCTGTACTACTTCAGGGCAATCCCTGAACAAAGGGGCACTTACTTGTCTGGTTTGTGAGGGTGTGGTTTGTAGACAAGCCTCTCATCTACGGACACTAGGTTTGTAAATGAAATCTGCAGAAGACAAGACAAGATTATCCCTTGATAAAAATATTAAGAGAATGTAGTAAATAAAAATTCAGATTCAAAACTAATGCTTGGGTCTGATTTAAACATGATACTTTTCTGGCAAGTATTAGGGTTGTAGAATACGATAGAGAAATGTCCAAGTTCAGCATTTGCTGGCCTTAAGATTCTCTTCTCTTTCCTTAAGATTTCCTTTCCTCTTTCCTTAAGATTTTGGATCATCCACCAATATTCACTACCACAACTATAAGAACATTTCAATAGTGGGATCCGACAGATCCCACTGTAGTACAAAGAGAAAAATCTTACATGGTTAGGAACAGTGACAGTGTACACCAAACAGCTTTAAAAATTGTTTTCTTAACACCCCACCCTGTCCCAAAAATTACTGTCCTGTTCAGAAAAACAGGTCAGCTATAACCACATTACTTAAACCTTTAACTTGTATTGTTCTAATGCAATTTTCACACAGCTACTTACATTGCTGGACTTAAGCTCCATTGTTTTTTTCACTGGGTCAACAACAGAGTGCTCCTGAACGTATGTCTTTGTTCTGGATGTACCAATGAGCTAGAAGACAGGCAAATATAACCCAGTTAATTACGCTACCCAACTGCAATTGATACAGTGTTTTAAAGTGCAGGGAGTGGTTATTGTATTGAACAGACACTGAGACAACAGAATTAGGGTTTAGCTTAAGGTAAAACTATTCAGCTGAGGAAAATTTCATTTTCAAGATGGAAGCCATCTAAGGTCTAGACAATTTTTGGCTATCAGTTAGTCACTATGTGTACTGCTGTTGAGCTTTCCTGATACGTAAACGCTTCTATTTTTAAACTATCAAAGTTAGGGAATGATACAGGTCTGTTACAACAGCAGTTCACAAGCTCCCCTTCCCTCTGGCATCCCCTCCAAGCGCTGCAATGCCGTACGTACGGATTTCACAATGGAGGGTATCCCCCACTCTGTACTGAGCAGTCTGTGGCTGTGCAGCTTCCCACTAGGGTCCACGTGTCTGTCCAGGACATCAACTCCCACCACGCTGGGGTTCATGGGATTGGGGTATTTCTGCATGGCAGCTGTTGTCACCATTTCCCAGGGGTGGCTGCCAAAACAGAATCAAGCACAACGTTGTACACCTCCATTTTTTAAACAGAATTTCTCTTAAAACTGAACACAACACAACACATCAATCGATTTGTATTTTCAAAGCAGTTCCATTTCTGAAGGGTATGAATATTCTTCCCCCTACGAAAAACATCTGTTTTGTGAATTGGACAGCAGTATATGCAGGTGACACATTCAATACACCTAATGTATACACCTGGGGCTCCTCAGTTCAATTACCTCCTGGCTTAGGACTTGCTAAGAACGTTTCCCCTGTGACACGATGCTGAAAAACTGCAATTTCTTCAGGTTTCAGTAGCACCGGAGTAAGTGACTAAGCTGTTACTTTCCCCTAAAAAGCATTGCTTTTGGATTATTCTCCAAGAGGTCCGCTGAAACTCCCGAGCGGCGGCAGCGCGGAGCGACTGAAAACGCGCCGGTCAGCGCCAGAGCCCGCGGGCG